TAGAGACGGGGTTTCACCATGTTGACCAGGATGGTCTCGATCTCTTGACCTCGTGATCCACCCGCCTCGGCCTCCCAAAGTGCTGGGATTACAGGCGTGAGCCACCGCGCCCAGCCCGAGATCACCAATAATTTTCAAGAGTGGAAGGCAGGGTTTGTGATGTCCTTGCCACACACACACACGTGCACATAAACAGATGCACATACACACAACCCCACATGCGAGGGCCCAGGGACAGCCAGCTCTCACAGACAGCCAGGGAGCTGGAGCCTCAGCCCAGCCTGTCTGTGGACACAGGTGGCGAGAAGAGGAGGAGAGAGTGAGGAAATAGATTTGAATTCTCCCTGTCCTAAGCCTCAGCATCCTGAGACGAGCCAGAAGGGAGCAGACTGAGAGACCCAGCCGAGAGGTGCTTCCTGGAGCAGTTTCCATTCTAGAAGAAGCAGGAATTCTCCTTCTTTCCCTTCATGCTCAAATTCCTTTATTCCAGGCTGGGCGCGGTGGCTCTCACCTATAATCTCAGAACTTTGGGAGGCCGAGGCAGGTGGATCACCTGAAGTCAATAGTTCGAGACCAGCCTGGCCAACATGGTGAAACCCTGACTCTACTAAAAATACAAAAAGTAGCCAGGTGTGCTGGCAGGTGTCTGTAATCCCGGCTACCTGGGGGACTGAGTCAGGAGAATTGCTTGAACCTGGGAGGTGGAGGTTGCAGTGAGCCGAGATGGCGCCACTGCTCTCCAGCCTGGGCAACAGAGCAAGACTACTCTGTCTCAAAAAAAAAAAAAAAAACCCTTTTCTTATTCTACAAAGCCTAACGTGCCGGCCAGCCCCACACCCAGGACAGCAGAGTGGACCTCTATGGAGCTTCCTGCCAACTGCCTGCTCCTTAGGGGAGAGGAGAAGGAATTAGACGGTGCAGTCCCAGGCGTGGGCAACTCTTGGTGCCTGGAAGTGAAGGGAGGGCCTAGGGCAGCCTTCATGGGAGAGGTGGTCTCGGAGTTGAGTCTCAAAGGCTGAGTAAGCATTTGCGGGCAGAGAAGGAAGGGAAAGCAATTCGTCTTTTCAGTAGAGATGGGGGTTTCACTATGTTGCCCAGGTTGGTTTTGAACTCCTGGCCTTAAGCAATACACCAGCCTCAGCCTCCCAATGTGCTGGGATTACAGGCGTGAACCACCATGCCCAGCCTTCAACCCACTATACCTTCTAAGGAAGAATAGTGCTCCAAACCAGTAACTGTCTTCGGATTAATCCAGCTGGAGGACACTCGCAACTGGAGGCAAACAAGATGAACCTAGACAGGTGAGCCTGTATTTCCAAGCATCCTTTAATTCAGGATGCTGGGTTATTTCCAAACCTGCCCCGTCTCTGTTCAATCACCAGCTCACCAGCATATCTCAGGAAAATGATGATACATTGGCACAGAACTGAAGTACTTACTGACCGATTGGGAAGGGAGGGAGGGAGTTGTTTCTTTTGTCAATACATTGGAAGAGGAGGCATATATCTTTCAGCAAACAGAAAGCCTCAGCTGCTTTCAGTGCTGTAAGGTTAAATGTGTGCAAGACAATTAACTGTGTGATTACAGGGCCGTGGTTCTAATGATCACAGCCTCATTATTAGAACATCTTTTCCGGTTTCCTGCTCAGGGTGAGCAATTTCTGAGGATTTTCCCCCCTGTCCCGCTATCCATCCACATCACAGAAAGCTGGTTCCAAGTGGATACCAGCCATCAGTTTGGCCTGTCAGCAAGATGCCTCACTTTCCTTGCTACTTCCCAGAAGGTGGTGGTTTAAAAAAATATATTGTGCTGGGCATGGTGACTCACACCTGTAATCCCAGCACTTTGGGAGGCCAAGGAGGGTGTATCACCTGAGGTCAGGAGTTCAAGACCAGCCTGACCAACATGGAGAAACCCTGTTCCTACTAAAAATACAAAATTAGCTGGGCATGGTGGCACATGCCTGTAATCCCACCTACTTAGGAGCCTGAGGCAGAGGAATCGCCTGAATCCGGTAGGCAGAGGTTATGATGAGCCAAGATCGCACCATTGCACTCCAGCCTGAGCAACAAGAGCAAAACTCCATCTCCAAAATATATATATAGGTGATATATATACATTGCAATTATTAGAAAGATAGTGGGACATTATTATTACAGGTAATCTTAAAGAGAATGGCCATATTTCCTGTGAAAGAAAAATATCTTGGGCTCCCAAAATCACTAAGGAAACGGAAGCTGGAAACTCTCATTCTATTCAAAGTCACCCCTCTACTCACTGATATAGATGTATATCGGAAGGTAGGAAGGAAGGAAGAAAGGGAGGGAGGGAAGGAAGGAAGGAAGGAAGGAAGGAAGGAAGGAAGGAAGGAAGGAAGGAAGGAAGGAAAAGATAATTATGGAGGATATACGGAAACCTGATATGCACTTGACATTGACATTGAGATAAAATAGAAGAAATGATTGGTATTCAGTAATGGTGCTGGGACATTTGGTTTTCCATGTGAAAAAAATATATAAATGAAAATATATCATCTAGGTTTGTGTAAATATACTCTACAATGTTCACACAATGAAGAAGTCACCTAATGATGGATTTCTCTGACTGCATCCCCACCATTGCCACTGATGGTATCTGCATTCACTCACTGGCAATCATAGTGGACACATTATCACTTGGTGGTGTTTTCTTTCTTCACTTAATTCATTGTTAATACACATTTGTTGAGATTATACAGCAGGTTTAACTTCAGGCTATAAACATTTCACCTTATCTTACAGCTTCTGCATAATCATTGTAATCAACATTTTTTATTTTTATTTATTTACTTATTTATTTATTTTGAGATAGAGTCTCACTCTGTTGCCCAGGCTGGAGTGCAGTGGCACAATCTCTGCTCACGGTAACCTCCACCTCCTGGGTTCAAGCGATTCTCCTGCCTCAGCCTCCTCAGTAGCTGGGACTACAGGTGTGTGTTACCAGCCTGGCTCATTTTTTTTTATTTTTTATTTTTAGTAGAGATGGGGTTTCGACATGTTAGTCAGGCTGATCTCGAATTCCAGACCTCAAATGATCTGCCTGCCTCGGCCTCCCAAAGTGCTGGGACTACAGGTGTGAGCCACTGAGCCCAACAGTAATCAATGTTTTTAATGACTTAATAAGCCGAATAAGCTGCTTGTCAACATATCACAATTAAGGTATTAGAAAGGACTCATGGTTGGGTGACAGAGAGTAAACCCAAACAAGGTGAAGAAGGAGAGAAACATTCATTGACATCCACAGTGGAAAAGTCAAGGGTAGCACTGGCCTCAGGCATGGCTGGAACAGGTGTCCAAATGACACTGCTAGGGCTCTGTCTCTACCTCCTGGCTGCTTTCTCGAGAGCTGGCTTCATTGTCAGGCGGGCTTTCCCCAAGAGGCAGCAAAATGGCTGCCAGCAGCCATTGCTTATAAACTACCAGCTAAGCAACCTTGTAGAAAGAGCACCTCCTTTTCCCTGGAGTCCCAGCTAAAGTCCTGGGCTGACTCTCATAGAATAACTTAGATCACATGACCACCTCTGGACCAACCTCTGTGGCCAGCAGGGGATGCAATGCTCCCATTGGTCTAGCCCTGGTCACGTGCTCTCCCCATGTCCAATCAGGAGATGGCAGTAGACCCATTCAAACAACATTAATTGTGGAGGACAGGCAATTCCTTAAAGTTAGATTGGGATGCTGTTGGCAGAAGAAGAGGGAATGAATGCTTGGCAGGGGGAACACAGGTATCTCTCCTGCTTGCTGGACGTCTAGGACTCCCCTCCCCAGTTTTTACTACGACAGATGATGCAGTAGCTGTGGGTAGAGCATGACTCCCTTCTCCATCCCACAGGGGGAAGCTTGTTCTAGTCATTTATATATGGGGCCTCCACATGGGATTTTGTGTGAGGCGAGGATTTCATTAAGGATTCCTTAATGAAATTTGAAAATCAGTGGCCATAGTGTGCCCTCTAGCTCCAAGTGGCGGAGAATCCATAACCGTAACTTTCTGCCCCTCTGGAACCTGCTGAGGTGCTTCTTGTTCTCTGCTCTCCACTTCCGAGCCTTTTCCCTTCCTCCTCTGCCCTCCTCAGTCCCACAATGGGCATAGGGGCCAACAGATACGTGGTGGGGCAGGAGGGGTGGGATCAGGACAGGGGCAGGGGCCTCCACTTTAGCCCTTCCTTCTCCTTCCTTTAATCCTGCCCAGTCAAATCCACTCTCCCCCTATCCTCTCCCATCTGGTCCAATGGGAACAGGTGTCCCAGGCCCACTGGGACTCAGGCAGTTTGGCTAAAACTAGTTGGCACCTGGCCCTGACTTTTCTGGTAACTGAGCCCTCTGCCCTGGCACAGGTACTGGTCATCCTGATGGATGTGTTCACGGATGTGGAGATCTTCTGTGACATTCTAGAGGCAGCCAACAAGCGTGGGGTGTTCGTTTGTGTGCTCCTGGACCAGGGAGGTGTGAAGCTCTTCCAGGAAATGTGTGACAAAGTCCAGATCTCTGACAGTCACCTCAAGGTAGGGCCCCCAATGAGATATTAGTCCAAATACGATAGTCTATGCCGTAGTCACAAATGTCCCCCATCTTGTGTTAATAGCTTAACACAATAAAGGTTCATTTCTTGCTCAAACTCCTATGTAGGTCGGATGGGCCTCCTCCATCTTGGAGCTACATCATGAGAAATACTTGGCCTCCAAGATAGCCATGACAGGGAAAGAGAAGGCTGGAGGACTCTGCAGGATGTTTCCAGGATCTGACCTGGAAGAGACTTTCATCGCTTTCTCTTATAACTCATTACCTCACCCAGATGCATGGGTGTTGGGAGATGAAAAGTGTCACGGGTATCTGGTGCGCAGCATCTCTGCCATGTACTCCTGTTCTCTCAGCTGGGGAAGCCCAAGGGATGCATCTCACAGGGCAGGCAACCTCCAGAGCCTGTGGGTACATGTTCAAAACTCGCTGGCCCCAGCAAGACATTGATCCTCTTGGACTTAACTGAACCCCCTACTTCTCTCTCCTGGCAAAGAGAAGAGAAACCCAGAGATAAGAGTTTGATTCGTCACACAAATTTGAGGACAACTAATTCAAAGTCAAATGTGAAAACCACCCGTAGCTTTCATGAGTAGGTCCAGCTGAACAGCTGATGGGTGGCCCTCAGAGTTCTTTTGATCAGTTTCCTCTAGTTCAGGCAAGAGAGGTTCTTTCCTCTGGAAGAACCTCCCAGATAAGAATGAAGCCTCCTCCCTCCCTCCCTTCTCTGCACGAATGCAGCTGAGTTCAGGGCTGCCTCAGGCCTTGGGACCTCTGACTGCTGGGTCTGCTTGGCATGACATGGATCACACCTCCTTGGCCATTGAAACCAGGTCAAGAGTGTCAGAGCTGGCCTTGCTTTCATGGCCTGTGCTGGCCACACCTGACAGTCCTCTGCTCATCATAGGGTGATGGGATTTGTCCCTCCTTTCAAGATCTCACAGACCTATGGAGAAGCCTCGGGGAAGTGGCTGGAGTCAGTACCACCCTTCCCAGAGTCTGCCGTGCTACCAGCAGTCTCTCGTGGGATCCAGAAAGTACTCCACCTGCCTCAGCCTTAATCTTGAGACTCCCATACTTGACCTCCCCTTCCATTTCTCCACCCTTCCAGCCCTAGGGCAGGGGCAGCAGGTGCTACAGGGAAGGTAAGGGGCAAATAGAGCCATGGTAGGGATGTGGACATATCTTTGCTTAAGACAATACAGGGTCTATTGCGACCTCCACAAAGCCACCTCCTCTGGCTGCACCAGGCCTTCCCTCTGATCAGCTTGCGGTCAGGGACTCAGGTCACTAAAGCCACTTACAAGGCAGGGCTGGGCTTGCCTCCAACTGACTGCCAGGCCTCTTGTGGCTCACGGTGGCCCAGACTAAGGGCTCTGTAGGCATCAGGCCTTTGCCTTGCTTTTATTTGCTGCCTTATTTGAATTCTACCCCCTTCCCTTTTTCTTTTTGTTGCCAGCTAATGTGAAGACAATGAAGACAATTTAGACAATTCAGCCCAAGGAAAAAATTAACATGGCCCAGAATCCCACCAACCAGAGATAACACATCTCCATTTTAGTGAACCTTCTAGCAACCATTTTCCTACACAAATTGTCTTAGTCCATCACAGCTGCTATAACAGAATTCCATAGACCGGTGGCTTATAACAACAGAAATGTATTCCTCATGATTCTAGAGGCTGGGAAGTCCAAGGTCAAGGTGCTGGCAGATTAGCTGTCTGGTGAAGGTCACTTCCTGGCTTATAAATGGCTGTCTTACTGCTGTGTCCTCACGTGGTGGAAGGGGTGAGGCAGCTCTCTAGACCTCCTTTATAAGGCCCTCATCTGCTGGGTGCAGTGGCTCATACCTGTAATCCCAGCACTTTGGGAGGCTGAGGCGGGCAGATCACGAGGTCAGGAGATCAAGACCATACTGGCTAACACGGTGAAATCCTGCCTCTACTAAAAATACAAAAAATTAGCTGGATGTGGTGGCATGCACCTGTAGTCCCAGCTACTCAGGAGGCTAAGGCAGAAGACTCACTTTAACTTGGGAGGCAGAGGTTGCAGTAAGCCGAGATTGGGCCACTGCACTCCAGCTTAGGCGACAGAGCGACACTTTGTCTCAAATAAATAAATAAATAAATAATAAGGCACTCATCCCATTCATGAGAACTCTACCTTCATGACCTAATCTCCCAAAGCCCCCACCTTCTAATCCCATCACCCTGGGGATTAGGTTTCAACACAGAATGGGGATAATGGGAATACACACATCCAGCATCACGCCCAAATGTATCTCTATAAACAGAATTAGGGAGTGACACCTCGACTTTCCCTCCCACAGAACATTTCCATCCGAAGTGTGGAAGGAGAGGTGTACTGTGCCAAGTCAGGCAGGAAATTCGCGGGCCAAATCCTGGAGAAGTTCATCATCTCAGACTGGAGGTTCGTCCTGTCTGGATCTTACAGGTGAGCCCTGGATTCATCTCGGGTCAAGGATTCGTGGAGGACAAAGGCAGAGTGAGGTGCAGACCAGCTGCTCACACACACACCACCAGCAGCTCCCAGGACGTCTCCCTCTGGCTGGAGCTGGAGCTGCTTCACATAAATGGGGTGAGAGGCAGGAAATCTGGGCCTGGCGAGAATTCAGGTAGAGAGGCATTTCCAGATGCCTCAGTTTCCATTAATATTGCAATAGGACATAGAATCCTCTTTTCCTTCCTCAGGTATCTTAGATGGGATTATAAAGTGATAAAAAATTTGTTTACTTGTGTGTGTGCACACCCCATTACACTTTTTTCCTTTTTTTTTTTTTTTTTTTTNTTGAGATGGAGTCTCACCCTGTCACCCAGGCTGGAGTGCAATGGTGCAATCACGGCTCACTGCAACCTCCACCTCCAGGGTTCAAGCTATTCTCCTCCCTCAGCCCCACAAGCAGCTGGGATTACAGGCACCACCACCACACCTGGCTAATTTTTGTTTTTTTAGTAGAGACTAAGGATTTAGTAGAGACTTTAGGATTTCACCATGTTGGCCAGGCTGGTCTCAAACTCCTGACCTCGGGTGATCCACCTGCCGTGGCCTCCCAAAGTGCTGGGATTTCAGGTGTGAGCCACTGTGCCCAGGCCCATTTCATTTATTTAATTTTTCTTATTTTAAAATAAATGTATTGAGATTTATTAATTCACATGCCATATAATTCATTGAGGTGTGCAATTTGTTGGTTTTTGGTATAATTCCAGAGTTGTGCAACAATGACTACAGTCAGTTCTAGAACATTATCATCATCCCATTTTTAAAAGTCCCATAACCATTAGCAGTCACCTTCCATCTCCTCCAGATCTCCCCAGTCCCACGCCGCCACTAATTAACCTTCTGCCACTATAGATTTGCCAATTCTAGATCTTTCATATAAATAGAATCATATGATATGTGGTCTTCTGCGACTGGCTTCTTTCACTTAGCAAAATGCATTCAAGATTCCCACCGTTGTATGGACCTACCACATGTTATTTAACTATTCATCAGTTGATGGGCTTTTGGGGTGTTTCCACTTTTCCGTCCTAATGAATAATGCTGCTGTGAACACTCATGTACAATTACTTGTGTGGACACAGATTTTCAGATCTCTTGAGCATCTGCTAGCAGTGACATTGTGGGTGATAGAGCAATTCTATGTTTAACCCTTTAAGGAACTGCCAGATTTTTATGCCACAGTATGGAATGTAAAATGGCCACAGCATTTTACATTGCTGCCAGCGATGTATGAGGATCCTAATGTCTGCAATCCTAGGCAGCACCTGTCATTGTTCCCCTCTTTGATGATCCTGGGGGTATGAAGTGATGTCTCATGCGGTGTTGGTTTGCATTTTTCCCTGATGGCCAACCATGTTAAGGTCTTGTGCTTGTTGGTTCTCTGCATGTCTTTTTGGGGACAATGTCTCTTCAATTTCTTTTTATTGATTGAGACAGAGTCTTGATGTGTCACCCACGCTGGAGTGCAGTGGCGTGATCACAACTCACTGCAGCCTCCATCTCCTGGGCTCTTCCCACCTCAGCTTCCCAAGTAGCTAGGACTTTAGGTGTGCGCCACCACACCTAGCTAACTTCTAATTTTTTATAGCGCTAGGGTCTCACTGTGTTGCCCAGGCCAGTCTCAAACTCTTAGGCTCAGGCAATCCACCAGCCTCAGCCTCCCAAAGTGTTGGGATTATAAGCATGAGCCCAGCGCCTGGCCTCGATTTGTGTTTAGACCCTCACACATAGACTCCTACATCCAAATGACTGACGATTCACTTATTCTAGCAATGCTGCCTTGCCTGGGTCTGTCTTTGAAACTCGACTACAGAGCTTAAAAGATATTCTTTGATATGTTCTCAGTGGCGGCACTAGGGAAGTGGATTTGATGGCGGGTTTTGTGAGAGGGATGAAATGAGCAATTGAGGAAGGGAGGAGCAGCCGAAGGTCATTTGGGAACATTTTATTTAGGAAGGTGATGAACGTGACAGTGCAGAAGGGGCAACTGGTTGTGTCTTATCTTACTTCCTCTGCTGCAAACACACAGCAGTGACCAATGAAATACGAGCAGCAACACTGGGATATGCTGGGAGTGAAAGGCAGGCCTCCAGGGGGTGGTTCGGATGCGCTGTTTCCCCAGGGAGCAGGAGCTGGAGAGGCTGTTCCAAAGGCAGGTGAAGCCAACTGCAAAATCTCTAGCCAGAGACAAATGAGCATAAAGGGAAAGAGAGAAAGGGGAAAAAAAAACCTTACATTTAAATTGTGCTATCTTTCTTCAGCCTTATTAGTGCCGTTTAGCTGAAATTCCACTTTCAGTGATATTAACATTACGACCTCCAGTCTTCCTTGGGCTTATATTTGTACAATGTCTTAGTCCACTGGGGCTACTATAATAAAATACCATACACTGGGTAGCTTATAAACTACGGAAACTCATTACTCACAGTCCTGAAGTCTGGGAAGTCCAAGGTCAAGGTGTTGGCAGATTCAGTGTCTGGGGAAGACCCGCTTTCTGTCTCATAGACTGCTGCCTTTTTACTGTCTTCACACAGTGAAAGCGTATCTTTATCCGCCATGGTAAAAAAGGGTGAGAGAGCTCACTGGGGCCTCTTCTGCAGGGGCACTAACCCCATTCATGAAGGTTCTACCTTCATGACCCAATCATGCCCCAAAGGTCCTACACACTAATACCATCACCTTGGGGATTAGGATTTCAAATATGAATCTGGGAGAGACACAGACATTTAGTCTACAGCACAGAGTATAACTTTCTCTCCATCCCATTATTTTCAACTTGCGGTTGGATTTTAAGTGTGTCTTTTATGAACAACATAGCATTAATTTTTTTTTTTTTTTTTGAGACGGAGTCTTGCTCTGTCACCAGGCTGGAGTGCAGCGACGCGATCTCGGCTTGCTGTAACCTCCGCCTCCCCAGTTCAAGCGATTCTCCTGCCTCAGCCTCCCGAGTAGCTGGGACTACAGGTGCATGCCACCATGTCTAGCTAACTTTTTTTTTTAGTGGAAACAAGGTTTCACCATGTTGGCCAGGATGGTCTCGATCTCTTGACCTCGTGATCCACCTGCTTCAGCCTCCCAAAGTGCTGGGATTACAGGTGTGCGCCATCACGCCCAGCCTAATTTTTCTTTTTCTTTTTTTTTTTTTGAGACAGAGTCTCACTCTGTTGCCTGGGCTGGAGTGCAATGGCTTGATCCCCACTCACTGCAGCCTCCGCCTCCTGGGTTCAAGTAATTCTCGTGCCTCAGCCTCCCAAGTAGCTGGGATTACAGGCTTGCACCACCATGCCCAGTTATTTTTTGTACTTTTAGTACAGATGGGTTTTGCAGTGATAGTCAGGCTGGTCTCAAACTCCTGATCTCAGATGACCCACCCACCTCAGCCTCCCAAAGTGCTGGGATTACAGGCGTGAACCCCATCGCTCCCAGCCTCATTCAAGTTTTTAAAAGTATAATTTTATCGTCTCTGTCTTTTAATAGGCATAATCTCCTTAGTTACTGTGATTGCTGATCTATTTAAGTTTATTTCTAATATTTACATTTTAACTTTGCTTTTCCCCTTTTGTGTTTGCAGTTGAATGGACAGGTTTTCTTTCTTTGCTTTTTTTTTTTTTTGAGCTGGAATGTTGCTCTGTTTCCCCAAGGCTGGAGTGCAAGGACGCCATCTCGGCTCACTGCAACCTCTGCCTCCCGGGTTCCAGTGATTTTCCTGCCTTCTCCTGCCTCAGCCTCCTCAGTAGCTAGTACTACAGGCAAGCCCACCACCACACCCAGCTAACTGTTTTTTAAATTTTTAGTAGAGACGGCGTTTCACCGTGTTGGCCAGTATGGTCTCGATCTCCTGACCTCGTGATCCACCCGCCTCAGCCTCCCAAAGTGCTGGGATTACAGGCGTGAGCCACCATGCCCGGCCCAGGTTTTCATATTACTGTTTTTTTAGGTAGCTCCTTTTTTTTTTTCCTGCTTGCTACAAAGCTCAATAAACTATATTTTTACTCTTTTCCTTTAATGGGACTCCTTCAGTTTTTAAAATACTTTACACATTTTCCAAACAAAGTCTAAAATTGTGTCATAATTCTCCTCTCTTCCCAAACACAACAAGGAACTTCGTGCACTGTTTTTTGACATTTTGATTCCTATTAAGTTCGTCAAGGCTGTTTCACTGCAAGGCACAGAAAATCTACTTAAACTGCCTAAGTCAAGGCTGGCAGTTAATCTCAGGCACAGCCAGGGGCAGGAGCAGGGGCTGCCAGGCCTCCCCAAGCCTGGGAAATGCTAGGGTCAAAGCCGCTCACTCTGGCTTTCATGGGCCCACAGGCCTGTTGCTTAGCTGCTTTTTCTGGTTCTCTCTCCTGCCTCATGGATTGTATGAGTTAAATCTGACCTCCTCATCCCTGATCTTTGCGGCCTCCCAGCCCAGCCTCCACCGTCACCCTGGGTCCAGCCATTCTGGCAGCCCACATCACCAACCCATGGATGAGCTGCCTCTGGGTCTGGTGTCCACCCCGAGCCAGTAACCTGTGGCTGGGGCAGGGCTGGCAGAAGAGAACTTGGCACGTGGCAAAAACATGGCTGTCCTTCCAGGCCTAAGGTGGGGCCAGTTTTCAGAGAAGCATCTCCAGAATATGTCTAGTACAGACCACTCCCTCCTCAAATGTTTTAGAATTTGAAGGTAGGAGAAGAAGGCTATGGGAAAAAAAAAATGCGGCTTAGGAGGCATCTCAAGTGCGGTTCACACCTTCCTGCCCAGCTCGCCCTGGGGTCTGCAATGCCCTTCATAGCATGGAGGGTCCGACGTAAGCGCCTGTCCTGGGTGCTTCATGTAAATGGTATTCTAATTCAGTATGCGGCATTTTGTGGCTGACTTTTTCACTTAACGTTTTCGAGGCTCCCCTGAGCTGTAGAGTGTCAGCGCTTCGTCCCTTTTTGTGGCTGAGCAATATTCCATGGACCGGATGGACCGTAATTGGTTTATCTGGTCACCAATCAATAGACATTGGGGCGTTTCCCCCTTCTGGCGATTGTGAATATTAGCTGAGGAATTTTTGCCGGGATCTTGACACTCCCTTTCTGCCCTGGGGAACATCAGTAAAAGGAAGAAGGAGGCTGAGCCAAGGGTTGGAAGAGCTGAGGATTCCCCGAACATGGGGAAGAAATCAAAGAACAGGTACAGTTTGAGCTCTCCTCATGATCCACTTTAAAGTGACCCGACTGGGCGCGGTGGCTCCCGCTTGTAATCCCAGCACTTTCCAAGGCCAAGGTGGGTGGATCACCTGAGGTCAGGAGTTTGATACCAGCCTGGCCAACATGGCAAAACCCCGTCTCTACTAAAAATACAAAAATAGCTGGATGTGATGGCGCACGTCTGTAATCCCAGCTGCTTGGGAGGCTGAGGCAGGAGAATCACTTGAACCCAGGAGGTGGAGGTTGCAGTGAGCCAAGATCATGCCATTGCACTCCAGCCTGGCAACAAAGCAAGACTCCATCTCAAAAAAAAAAAAAAAATCTTCTTACCCAGATGCTCTTATCTATAAAGTCCTGCCCCAAAGTTAAAGATCAGGCAATTATTTTTGAGAAATGTTGCACCCTCCCAGGACCCACTAGCTGCTTTGCACATGACCATGGGGCAGGTATATCTGTGGAGAAAGGAGAAGGCCTGGGAACACAATCAACTGGAAACAGAGATGTAAAGATAAAAGGCTGAGAAACAAGTTCTTATTATCTGTGCATATGATGAAACCTGATGAAGGAGCTTAAGCGACTGGGAAGGATTTTGAACATGTCAGGGAGATCGGAAGTGTGCTAGGAGTGGGGGCTTCCTCCCTTTCCCAGACGGGTCTCAAATGCTGGGCAGATTAAGCCGAAACACATTCCCAAGATAAACTTCCTTTTTTTTTTTTTTGAGTCGGAGTCTCGCTCTTGTTACCCAGGCTGGAGTGCAATGGCGCGATCTCGGCTCACCGCAACCTCCGTCTCCCGGGTTCAGGCAATTCTCCTGCCTCAGCCTCCTGAGTAGCTGGGATTACAGGCACGTGCCACCATGCCCAGCTAATTTTTTGTATTTTTAGTAGAGACGGGGTTTCACCATGTTGACCAGGATGGTCTCGATCTCTTGACCTCGTGATCCACCCGCCTCAGCCTCCCAAAGTGCTGGGATTACAGGCTTGAGCCACTGCGCCCGGCGATAAACTTCCTTTTAACACTTTCAGGAAAACAGAATATCTATCTTCAGCTTCTCAAAATATGAATTGTTCCACCCTCAAATCCTCAAATCTACATCATTTCACTTTTAAACCAAAGGTAATATTTCATATATTATGCTTCCCCCAGAAGAACAAGAATTTAAATGTGTTAGGTCATACCCGACTTTTTTTTTTTTTTTTTTGGGATACTCTATTGCCTAGTGAGGTAGTGGCATGATCTCAGCTCACTGCAACCTCAGCCTCCTGGTTCAAGTGATCCTCCCACCTCAGCTTCCTGTGTAGCTGGAATTAGAGGCTCCTGCCACCAAATATACAAATAAACAAAACCCTGCTAATTGTTTTGTATATTTAGTAGAGACGGGGGTTTTACCATGTTGGCCAGGCTGGTCTTGAACTCCTGACCTCAAGTGATCTGCCAGTCTCAGCCTCCCAAAGTGCTGGGATTACAGGGGTGAGCCACCGCTCCCAGCCTCTATACCAAATTCTTTTTTTTTTTTTTTTTGAGACGGAGGCTCACTCTGTTGCCAGACTGGAGTGCAGTGGCGAGATCTCAGCTCACTTCAACCTCTGCCTCCGAGGTTCAAGTGATTCTCCTGCCTCAGCCTCCCGAGTAGCTGGGATTACAGGCTTGCACCACCACACCCAGCTAATTTTTATATTTTTAGTAGAGATGGGATTTCACCATGTTGGCCAAGATGGTCTCCATCCCTTGACCTCATGATCTGCCCACCTCAGCCTCCCAAAGTGCTGGGATTACAGGCGTGAGCCAGCGCGCCAGCCTTGATACCCAACTCTTAATAGCTGTGTATCTGTCATCTCTCTGGGCCTGTTTCCTCACCAGGACAAAATGGAAAATAATAAGACACTCTATTTGTATTAGAACAGTTGTTGTAGAATTAAGTAAAACAGCAAGTGTAAATACCTTGCTGGGCATCTGAGATGCACTAAAAAAAAGGTCACTTAAGAGTGTATTGTTA